CTCTCTCGTCTCTCTTCTCTTCCTCTCCTCCTCTCTCTTCGCTCTCTCTCTCCTCCTCTCTCCCTCTCTCCCTCTCTTCTCTCATCTTCCTCCTCTCTCTCTCTCTCTTCCTCTCTTCTCCTCTCCTCTCTCTCTCTCTCCTCTCTCTCTCTCTCTCTCTGCTCTCTCTTCTCTCCCTCTCTTCTCCTCTCCTTCTCTCTCTGCTCTCTCTCTCTCTCTCTCCTCTCCCCGTATCTCCCCTTTCCTCCCCCTCCCTCCTCTCACCCCCCTCTCTCCCCACCTCTCCCTCCCTCTCTCTCTCTCCTCGTCTCCTCTTTCTCTCTCTCTCTCTCTCTCTCTCTCTCTCTCTCTTCTCTCTACTCTCTCTCTCTCTCTCTCTCTCTCTCTCTTCTCTCTCTTCCTCTCTCCTCCTCTCCTCTCTCTCTCTCATCTCCCTCTCCTCCCTCTTTCCCCTCCCTCCCTTCCCTCTCCCTCCCTCCTCTCTTCTCTCTCTCTCTCCCTCCCTTCTCTCTCTTCCCTCCCTCTCTCTCATCCTTCTCTCTCTCACCCCCTCCCTCCTCTCTCTTCTCTCTCACCCTCTCTCTTCTCTCTCTCTCTCTCTCTCTCTCTCTCTCTCTCGCTCTCCTCTCTCTCTCTCTCTCCCTCTCTCTCTCTCTCTCTCCTCCCTCTCTCTCTCTCTCTCTCTCTCTCTCTCTCTCTCTCTCTCTCGCTCTCCCTCTCTCTCTCTCTCTCTCTCTCTCTCTCCCTCTCCTCTCTCTCCCTCTCTCCCTCTCCCCTTAATCTCTCGCTCCTCTCTCTCCCATCTCTCTCTCTCTCTCCTCTTCTCTCCCCTCTCTCTCCCCCTTCTCCCTCTCTCTCCTCTCTCCCTTCTCTCCCTTCTCCCTCTCTCCCTCTCCCTCTCTCCCTCTCGCCCTCTCTCTCCCTCTCTCTCTCTTCTCCTCTCTCTCTCTCTCTCCTCTCTCCTCTCTCTCTCTCTCTCTCTCCTCTCTCTCTCTCTCCTCTCTCTCTCTCTCTCTCCCCTCCCTCCCTCTCTCCCCTCCCTCTCTCCCTCCCTCTCTCCTCTCTCCCTCTCTCCCTCCCTCTCTCCTCTCTCCCTCTCTCTCCCACTCTCTCACTCCCTCTCTCACTCCCTTCTCACTCCGCTCTCTCACTCTCCTCTCTCCCCTCTCTCTCCCTCCTCTCTCTCTCCCTCTCTCTCTCCTCTCTCTCTCTCCCTCTCTCTCCTCTCTCTCGTCTCCTCCTCTCTCCCTCTCTCTCTCTCCCTCTCTCTCTTCTCTCTCTCTCTCTCTCTCTCTCTCTCTCTCTCTCTCTCTCTCTCTCTCTCCTCTCTCTCTCTCTCTCTCTCTCTCTCTCTCTCTCTCTCTCCTCTCTCTCTCTCTCTCTCTCTCTCTCTCTCTCTCTCTCTCTCTCCTTCTCTTTCTCCAATGTTACTTGATCAGTTCAAAACATGGAAATATAAACATATAACTGCTAACAAAAATAACTAGACTATAGCTTCATCTTGCAGGTTAAATCAAGGAGATATGGATTACGATCCTGCAGGCCGGGGAATCAAGGAAAGACTACTGTTACAAATACTGTTGAATGCAGTGACTGGATTACCACTTGCAGAAGCAGATGCAAGTGATTTAATGTGTTGTCTTAGTTATGCTTATCAATTCATGTTGTTTTGTTCATGTTTTTACATACAGAAATTAAAGGGCTATATTTTGTTTTTCTGAGGATGAGGGATATTACGTTTTTGTTAAAAAATATTTAAGAGTTTTGTTTTGTTTAGAGGGCCGAGTGCAATTTCTTTTTGTTTTTAAGCTATAGTGAGAAGCTGAAACGGAACAGTATAATAAAAAGGTTTAGTATTTAGACAGATGAAGAAAATTATTTGTAGAGTCTTTTCTCCGGTATCTTTGACAGATATGGTAAACAAGACACCAAATCCAGTATCTTAGCTTATACTGTAACTATTTTCTAATGATGTAGAAATAGATAATTTCCAGGTTTCCTAGAATAGCTACATATACTTTCTATACGGCATTCAACCCCCCCCCCACACACACCTTCAGCATACAGATATAAGTAAATAACTCTGCACAGATGAAAGTAGATTGAAAGAGATGGTTTACGATTTTACGAATTGAAATAAGCTAGTATTATTATGTAGTCAGAATGTGTTTCATATTTTGTTAGGTATGATTAAACATTGTAATTTATATTGTTTTATTTTCACAATATATTTTTCGTGTATATTTTCGGAATATATTCTGTTTCAACGGGTACTATGAAAGGAAATCATCCAATCTCCGGTGACCACAGAGTGAATATGATAAAAATATGCCTAAATTAATCCAAGTAATGTTTACATTTTATTTATGCGTGTGTAGAAATTATTCTACCTATTCACAATAGAACCTGAAATGTTTAAACAATAGAAACATGAACATTGTGCATATTTCGATATGTTTATGTTTACCCAAACATAGATGTAATGACATCCTGTCATGTG